ACATGATGTTTCTTAGAGGAAACAAATGAAGACAGAGGAGACCCAGCAGTCAGTGCCCAGCTGTCTCTGGGCCTACGTGATGTCCCTCTGCCGAGGTGGCCGGTGGATATTGCGCACAACACACTTGACCATCCATTCGATGCCCTCGTTGACACCTTTCCCAGTGAGTGCAGAGCAGGCCTGGGTCAGACAGTCACGCCGCCCTATCTTGGAGATGCAGTCACTGAAGGCAGTCTTGATGTCAGGGATGGAGAGGCAGGTCTCCACATCCTGCTTGTTGGCCAGCACGAGGATGGGGACACCCTCCAGTGCCTCATTTGTAACCATCTTCTCAAAAGCACGCTTGGACTCAGAGAGCCGCCCCTCATCGGTGGAGTCGATGACATAGATGACTCCGTGGCATTCAGCGTAGTACTTGTCCCACAGAGACTGCAGCTCCTCCTGTCCCCCTAAGTCCCAGAACATGAGGCGGGCCTTCCCCACGTCCACGGTGCCGATGTTGAGGCCCACGGTCGTGGTGATCTTGGACAGACTCATCCCCTTGTAGTGCTTGTGAAAACGGGTTTTTGACTGCTCCAAGAAGGTCGTCTTCCCGGCGTTGTCCAGGCCCAGGATCAGGATGCAGTACTCGTCCTTCTGGAAGACGTACTTGTACAGGCCGGAGAGCAGGGTGTACATCCTGTCCGCGGGCCTCGGCGGCGCCCGACCGGCCCCCGACCGGCGTCCGACCCCGCGCGGCGACTGCCGGGAGTCTCGGCTAGAGCGGCATCCCGGCGGCCCCCGCCAGTTGAAATTGTTCTGAAAGGTAAATTGTCTGCAGACATCAGAATGTTAATAATGGCAAACCCATAGTCCAACTGCACTCAGAATATGACTAAGGACATGACCGGAGGATTCTGTGCATGTCAAGAAAGATTTTTTATATGATTTTTATAATAATGAAGAATATTAATATTTAAAATTTTACTCATTTTTATGTAATCTCAGTGTCCACCAGTTTGAGACTAGGTCAGTAAATTTACTACCATTTATTTAACTGTGGAAGTTGATGTAAGAATTGTAGATGTCCATATGCAGAAAAATACAATAAGTAAGAATCTCAAATTATGGAGTAGTATTACTAAGCATTTCTAACTCAGATAAAGGTAGTAAAATGTATTCACTAACAGCCTATTTTAAAAGCTGATTTCTCACTCCTTCCAGTTGTCTGTGCATTTAATTAACCTAACCTCTCTCAGCCTAGTTTCTCTGACTTTTCTAAGCTTTTCTATAAACCGAGGATCTGCTCTGTTGCGCCGATTGGCAGCATTATGATAGACGATAAAGAGATTGAGATTGTTAACAGCTTCAGCTTGCTTGGCTCTACAATCAACACTTTTGGTAACTGCAGTCAGGAAATCAAAAGACAGATTGCACTGGGAAAGTCTGCTGTCAGGGAGGGACCTCTGCAGTGTACTGAAGAGCAACAATGTCAGTCTGGAGACAAAGATGCACCTGATCCAGGCCTTAGTCTTTCCAATTATTTGCTATGTGTCAGAAAGCTGGACAATGACTAGGAATGATAGAAAGAAAATTGATGCGTTTGAACTGTGGTGCTGAAGAAGAGTATTGCATATACCATGGATTGTCAGAACAAACAGGTTCATCCTGGAGAGGGTGAAATCAGGCTGCTCCTTGGAGGCAAGGATTCTGAGGCTTTGTCTGATATATTTTGGGCATGTTGCAAGGAGACACTGGACTTTGAAGAAAGACATTGTGCTTGGAAGGGGTGAGGAACAGCACAAGAGAGGAAGACACTTGATGAGATGAATTGATTCAGTGACTGGAGTAATTGGGAGTGGGTGTATTAGAGACAATAAGGTTGGCACAGGATAGAGCAGGGTTCAGGGGTATTGTACTTAGGTTTGCTATAAGTGGCAAGCAACTCGACAGCACATAACAACTCTGTTGTCCATAGGATCACTATGACTCATAGACAACACAATGGCACTGGATAGCAAAAATACCTCATTGGATTATTGCAAAAAATCAGTTATGGTATGCAAAATATTTAGTTCATTTCTAATTCATAAGAAGGGAGGTCTGGTGGCCTAGTCCTAAGAAGCTGTACTGCAATCCCAAAGGCAAGCAGTTCAAATCCATCAGCTGCTCCTTGAAAGAAGGATGAGCAATCTCCTCCCAAACAATTAACTGCCTCTGAAAAGCTGCTGGAGGTTCAACTATGAGTTGGTACCCCCTTGGCGGCATACAACAATCACAATACGTAATAACTGTTCTGCTAGCTATTAATATCTTAGTTAATTGATAGATAGTTGTTAGGTGCAGTGGAGTTGACTCCAATTCATAGTGACTTCATTTACAATGAAACACCATGCCGTGTTTTCCTTGCTCTGTTCCAAGAACTGCTTCCTGGTTTCACATAAGCACAATTACATGTTCTAGGATTCCCACTCTCCTCAAGGTTAGCCACAATTTGTTGTGATCCACACAGTCAAATGTCATTCCATACTCAATAAAATGCAGATAGACATTCCTCTTCTATTCTTTGCTTTCAGCCAAGATCCACCTGAGGTTGACAATCATATATCTGGTGCCATAGCTTCTTCTAAACCTGGCCTGTATTTCTGGTTGTTCTCTGTTGATGACTCTTTCAGTCATTTTTGGATAATCTTCAGAGGATTTTGCTTGTGTGTGATATCAGTGATATTGTTTGAATGAGTATAGGCTGGGACCCTTTCTCCTACACTGCTGACCTCAGACAGAAATCCACTCTCAATCACATTCTCTCCCTTTTCCCTCTCAGTTATCTAACTCCTTCACCTCTATAATGAGGAGTTTTTAGTGGGGAGGGAGGAGATGTAAGAAAATATTTCTACATCTGACCACATAAAAATTCAGAACACCATAAACACAATAAAAAGGCAAACAACAAACTGAGAAAAATATTTGCAACAAGTATGACAGATTTAAATGAGATGCCATTTTTAGCTTAAACTTGGAAAAAAATAAAAACCATGTTTTGAAGCTTACTTTTTTTTTTTTACACCAGCCCTGAAGCTTACTTAATGTTTATTTTATGAAGGCTTTGAACAGAGACAAGCCTAGAAAGAAATTCAGTATTTCAATAGCCCAAGTTTTTGGGATTATGAATGCTTTTTATTTTCTTTTTAAAATTCTAGTCTTCAGATTTTTATAATAAACAAGTATTGCATCAGTTATCAGAAGAAATAATTAACAGATGCCACTTTCACTTAATTTCCTGTATTATAAACAGTGTTTGTAAGGAAGTGACAATTGAAATTGTGCAATATAAGTTAGTGTAACTTTGGAACTGGGCTGTTTAACGGAATATACGAAGAACTGTGAAAATATTCCTTAACTCAGCTTCTATTTTAAGTCACTGCTTCTAAGGAAAACAATTGGAATAGGGATAGAGATAGAGATAGAGATAGAGATAGAGATAGAGATAGAGATAGAGATAGAGATAGAGATAGAGAGATATAGAGATATATTCATTGTAAAGACTTCTAAAATACAGAAAAATTAGTTCAAAAACTCAACAACAAAAAGACAAACAACCAGAACAAAAATGGACCAAAGACATGAACAAACATTTCAGTGAAAGGAGTATTTAAAAGGTCAGGAAATACATGGACAGATGCTCATGTTCATTACCAAACCCACTTCTGCTGAGTTCATTCAAGCTCAGTGACCTTCCAGGGAAGACTAGAAATGCCCAGTAGTGTTCCCAAGCATATGTATCTTTTTACTCATAGAGCAGACTCACCCGAGCAGCTGGTGAGTTCACTGCTGGTATTCTGATGAGCAGCACAGCATTTTAACCACTAAGCCACCAGAATTGTATTAACTGTTATTGTTGTTGTTGTTATGTGCCATGGAGTTGGTCCTTACCCGTAGCTGACCCTAGAGCTGGTTTTCAGAGGCAGTAAATCATATGGGAGGAGATTACACATCTCTCTGCCTTGGAGCAGCTAGCGGATTCAAACTGCACGCCTTTGGGTTGGCAGCACAACTTCTTACCAGTAGGTCATAAGCGCTCCCTTATTAGCTATTACAGAGATGTGATTAGAAACTACAATGAGATACCATTTCATTTCGGGGAAAAACAACAATTTTTATTGTTTTAAAAAAGAAATCAAGGGGAGCTCTGGTGGCCTAGTGGCAAGGAGCTGCAACTACAATCCCAGAGGTGAACGGTTCAAATCCGCCAGATGTTCTGCCGGGGAAGGAGGGACAATCTCCTCCTGTACCAGTCAGATCTGATTTGACGGTACACACACACACAAATGATAAAATAAAATAAAAAAATTTAAAAAAAAGAAAAATCTTTAAAAAAAAGAAATCAATTAATGCTGGGAAGGTTTTAAGGAGATTGGAACTACTCTACATTGGTAGTGGGAGAATGTAAAACCTCTGTGGAAAACTGCACATCACTTTCTTTAAACCTAGAAATATCATATGATCCAGAAATACCATATAAAAGCAAAGACACAAATAGACATATGTACACCTGTGTTCACTGTAACATTCTTTATTCATAATAGCAAAAAAATGGGAATACATCAGAAGATGAATGGATAAACAAACACAAGGGAATACTAGAAACTATAAAGAATAATGAGTCCGTGAAACATTCTGTGACATGGATAGATCTAGAAACAATGAGTGAAATGTCAATCGCAAAAGGAAAAATAACTTATGGCAGCATTATTATTTAAAATCAAGAACAAATCTAACAGTGAAAGCACCATTGCTCTATGATTACTGTAGGTGGGAGGCAGAGGAAGGGGGAAACACTTATCTAGATAGTAGCCACTTGTTCTTCTTCTGATGGGAAAGACAATATGAAATATAGGTGAAGTCAGCACAACTCTATCAAGATAAAGAAAGATAGACACTAAGAAGTACATAAGGGAAAAGAACAACTTTAGCAAATTCCGTAACATATATAATTTAGTAACAGCAACAAAACAAGATATATGTAGTTATGTATGTAGATATGTATGCATTCATGTGTACAGAAAAGTATATGTGAGTAAATATGCATACAGGTATATTTGTAGATATGTGTTTATGTACTTTTCCATCTGATGTATATACATCCATACATAAAAAAGAACACATAGGACAACAGATAAAAATAATTCCTAGGCATGTCTAAACACCTCATGGGATTGATTTATGGGGTTAAAACACTTAAGATCATTGTCTACGGGGTCAAGTTAGTGAGCTGGCATCACATAGTTCATAAAGAGAATGTTCTACATAATAGTTTAGTGAGTAGTGTCTAGGGTCTTAAAAGCTGTTGGTGGTCATCTAAGATGCCTCTTCTCATATGAAACAAAAAAGAACGAAGAAGACCAAATACATAAAGAAGAAACTAGGTCACAGGACAAACAATCCACATGAATCAGGACTTTTTCAGACATGTTGTTGTTGTTGTTAGGTGCCATTGAGTTGAGTACGATTTGTAGTGGTAACCATAGGAACAATAGCTCTGAATTCTGTCCTATCCTGTGCCATCCTCACAATCTGACACATTCAAGCCCATTGTCACTGACATGGTATCAATTCATCTCACTGAGGGTGTTCTCTCCTTCACTTTTCAAGCACGATGTCCTTCTCCAAGGAGTACCATCTCCTAGCATCATGTCCAAAGTATATGAGCTTTATCAGA